TTTTTTGATTAAAATGACTCATTTTTGTTGAATAAATCGAGGTCAGAGAGTTACAATTTAACTGAATATTTCATTAGGTTGGAGACAATTTCTATTTCCTGATAATATCGTTGCTACGACAACGAATTTAATTGCCCCACATATATCTTTAATCTTCGCTGCATATTAATGAAGCTTGTATCGATTGAATTCGAAAATAGCTGATCTGATGTTAAAGACACACATATATATATATATATATATATATATATATATATATAAAATGTTAACTTTTCTTGGCTAAGCAAAATATATGGAGGGCATTCTACCACAAACGCACCTTGTTGATAATTAAAAGTTAATTAGATTGTCTTAAAACTTTGGTAAATTATTGTTCTATATGGGGGTAACAAATCGCTAAAGTTTTAACTTTTTTGAAAAAAATTTGTAGAAAGTGAGATTGAATGTATACTCTGATATAATGTTTAAAACTTAATGCGAATTGAGCACCGTATCGCTAATACAAAAGTTAAAAATTTTTTAATGAAGACGTCTGATGAATATATAATTAAATTTAAATTTTTGTCCTACTGAGATTTTTTACTTGAAAATTGATACTGTATACGGAGAAAAATAAATTGTTGTATACTTACTAAACCTATGAAACTAAGAAATTTTGTTTAGTCGCAACAAGAAGTTTGTATTATTGCACTAAACATACATTTGTTACTGTAACAAATTTTTAATATTGTTACAACAAAATTTTATTGTTTCATATACAACAAAGTATTGTTATACCAAAAAATATATTGTTATTATTACTAAGGAATTTGTTACTACAACAATATACAGATTTGTTGTAGCCACTAAATAAAATGTGTTAGTTCTTGGTTTAGTAAGAACAATTCATATTTCTCTGTGCAAGTTCGTTAACTATGTGAATAAATATTTTAAAATCATATAAATGTCTGAAATTTTGAGGCAAAAATTTTTGAAATTTGAAATCAGTAATTTTGTATGACATTCGAAAAAATGTGTTGTTTTTCAAAATTGTATATCAATCCTTATTGATTCAAACACTTTTGTATAAAATTTCGAATTTTGTAACAGTGTAGATTATAACATTAAGGATTTTAATTTTATATAAAAAATTTAAAAGAATCTCATACATTTTTTTTTCCTTTTTTCAAAATTAAGACCTATTTTTCAGTTTTCGCCCTTGATATAATAAAATAGGAGAACAATTTTACCAAATTTTCATGCCAATCATTTAATAACCTTTAATTTTTGACTGGCACGTTTCAGGAAGAATGCCTCCATATAATTATGATATAACATAAATAATATGGATCAGAAAACTCATAAATTTAATATGAAATGAAGTTATTGTATTTTTGCACCTGAAATACACTTTGCTGAATGTTTTCGAAAATTCAAACATTGAAAACTGGTTCGATAACAATGGCTTTAAAACGGACTTTGGGATTTGTACAAAAGGCAACTCTATACGGTCCATAGAGGCGCTTGAACATCAAAGTGTAATAATTGCTGAATAATGAGCGGATGGCTTTGTCGGCATCTATTGGTTGCCAGGTGTCCCTGAATGCGGACAATAAATACGTTCTGATGGATCTCGGAATTTAATGGAAACTGAGCTCGTGCGCACGTACATTTCGAGGTATTGCAATATATATATATATATATATGCTCAACTCAAAGACTCGTTACGGGCAAAAAGGGGATGTGTCCCTGGCTGTCAAATAGGGACAGAGGGTGCCGGCAAGATACTTGGACAAAGCAAGACAGACAACCCTAGCTTCTGTACCTTCATGAGCACCATGATAATTTTTTTCAGCTTTCTCTTATTATTTTTTTTTTTTACTTTTAAAGCGCACTCACAATCAACATTTTCTCTTATGTTCTTAAATCAACGAATTCTTCCTTCCTCATTATTTTCAAAACTACTTCTCATAATTTCCTTGTATTCACATGTGCAATATTATTTGTTTATGTAGAGTCTTTCCACTTTGCATTTTCAATTCCTTTTTTTTTGGTACACAGAAAAAACCTGAACTCAAAATGATAGCGTATGCTACTCATTTTGATATGCAGCAAAAATAAGTCAGGTTGGTGGCGCCACTGTCTATGTCGTTTAGCATTGACTCATTTTTGCTGCATATGAAAATGAGACTAAGTTTTTTCTGTGTATGATAATTTAATTTCTCTATTTTTCGATATTTTTATTAATTTAGGCGCGGTTCAATTCTACACATTTAAACTGAACAATGTTAAATTTTACACAGTTTAAATTCTACAAAATTTCTTTGTTACTCTCTAAATCTGAATCAGTCATATTTTACTGATTAGCAGTAGAAATCTACTAATTGCCATAGCGAGAATTGATTGAATCAGTAATATAAATATATGGCGGCGGCCACAAAATCTACTGATTTAATAGTTAATTTTAAAGGTTATGTTATATACAAATTACTGATTTACATAAGTTATTTTCTATTGCTTGCATATTCACTAATTATATTAGTAAATTTTAAAAAATAACTGAAACTTCAGTTAAAATGAAAAGTACTGATTGAATTAGTAAAATTTCTACTGATTCAGATTTAGAGAGTAAATTCTACACAGTTAAATTGCACACCGTCAAACTCTACACACGTTTGTATTTAAAAATTAAATTAAATTTATTCAATAACACAATTAAATTGCGCACCGTTAAACTCTAAACACATTTATATAATAACCCAGATAGCACGCAAGTTTGCACTACAAGCTTGCTGCACGTTTGCTGCAAGCTTGCAATGTCCTAACGTAGCTTGCAAAGCAAGTTTGCAGCAAGCTTGCATTGGAAGATTATTAATTTATTATTTAACGTATTAATTAATTAAGTATTAATTTAATTTAAGATACAAATTCCCTTTACTATGTATTTAGCACTATAGCTGGGAGGTAAAAAAAATTTACAGTTGTCAAATATGAACGCGTCACTGAAAACGGTGCAATAAATGTTGATGAAAAAAGTGGTTTATGATGCAGCAAAAAAGTTTTAACGTTTGTAACTTGTGATTCTGTACTTATCTTGAATATCCGTGATTAAATTTATATTAAATTATCGATTTTTATAAGACTTATGTTGTTTTGCTTTGACATGACGCTTTGTGCCACGGTGTTCTTTCATTGAAAAAAATCTAAATCTTTTCTTTTATAAACATTTTTATACATTTATATTGAAAAAAATTCGTAAACTTAATCTTGATGATATTAATATAAATTGAATTGAATTGTGTTACTTCGCTATAGTTTTTCTTATACATATAACATATTTATAGGTTAGGATGTGATAATATGTTTCACCCAACATCAAGTTTAAAATTCTTTTGAAATAATGTTTAAATCAAGCAAGCAGTCAATTAATACTTAATAAAGTTAATTAATTAGAATAATATAAAACATCAGATATTCTAAGATAAGTGAAAATACAAGTTACATATTTTATATAATATATGCTATCAGATCTATCAAAATTTGTAACCACAGCTAAATTTTTTGTTATGACAACGAAAAAGCTTGCTATAATAAACAATATCAGTTTTAATTTTTTAAAATTTACTATCTCAGCAAACTTTTTTGTGAATAGATGAGACAGCCAATAATTCGCTGTCATAGAAAATTTTTTCCATGCGTGTAGAATTAAACTAATAAATTGTGCAGAGTTTAAACTGTGTAGAATTTAACATTGTACACGGAAAAAAAAGGAATTGGTTACGCAGATGCTAACTGATATTTGCTATCGGATCTATCACTCTCTAAATCTGAATTAGTAAAAAAGTTTACTAATTTGAATTAGTGACTCACTTTTTGCTTCTCAATTAGTAAAATTTTACTAATTATTAGTAACTTTTACTAACAATTAGTAAAATTTAACTAATTCTAAAGCAAAAAGTGAGTCACTAATTTAAATTAGTAAACATTTTTACTAATTCAGATTTAGAGAGCAAAATTAGTAAAGACAGTTAAATTTTTTGCTATGACAACGAAAAAGTTTACTATGATAAACAATATTAGTCTTACTTTTTGAAAATTTACTGTCACAGCAAACTTTTTTGACCCCACAGCAAATTTGTTCGTCGTCCCTATATATTAGCTAACGTAATTTGATGTGACAGCAAATAATTCACTGCCACAGCAAATTTTTTCTATGCGTGTAAAGTTTAACGTATGTAGAGTTTAAATGTGTAGAATTTGAATTGCGCCTTTTTATTTTAGTCAATTAATTGGTATTTGTTTCAAATAAAGAAATTATTGATTCAAATACAGTATAATTAATTGAAATAAAAATTTATTGATTCAAGTAAATATTTATTTGATAAGTCAAGTAACCGATTATTTGCATAAAATAAATTTTTCTCTTCAGTGTCATCAAGTGTTATTTGACAATTTATAAAGTATTTATTTTTTTTTTTTTGCATTTTAGATAAAAAGTTGAAAAAATTAACATAAAGCTTTATTTGATTGAACGAAATATTGCCGGTGTTTTTATAAACGCAGCTTTTTTTTTTTTTTTGTTCTTGAGGCTAAAAACTTCAGTATTGCAATTTAGAGAAATGAAAGTACATTTAAAAAGAAAGCACACACATATACCGATATATAGAGAAAAAAAATATATATATATATATACATATACAAGAGACGTGACATTCGAAATGGAGCAACACAATGAAAGCACAGGGGAAAAAATTCCGACTTCCTATATCACCAAAAGATCAAAGAGAAACTTCCCTTCTTTTTCTGGGTTTGTCGCGCTCCGGTACTCAACAAATGATTTCATTCTAAAAGAATTTCTCCAACATCCAAAACCGCTCTAACTAATATTCGATATTTTATTTTCGATATTATATTTTATACATATATATATATATGTATAAAGCAACATGTTTGACTTGTTGACATATCGATATATACATATACAACCCGGTGTGCGACTTGTCAAACTCGAAATACCTTACCTGATTGTTGATTAGATTGCACAGATAATCCTCGCACAACCTTGTACTCGTCTATGGAATGCTTGATATCTTCCTGCTTCAAAATGATAATCGATTTCTCCTTGATAACAATCCAACAATACACTAATCAAAATCCACATATACACACACACCCATACGCACAAGAAAAAAAAAATTCCCTATTAAATTTTTCTTTTCATTTAATTATTACACAACCTTCCGGAAATAGGGTTCATTGTGTTTACAAAATCTTTAAATATAAACACAATTATTCACTTTATCTCACTGATTTATGAACACTTGTACATATATCTCATTTCCTTGAACTTCACCTCGAGAGATACATTTATCAGCTGAGGTACCTTTTTCTCCCTTCGAGAAAGAAAACAAATTTTTTTATAATTGTATTCTTAAATTTTTGAACTTATAAGAATTGTGTTTTACTTTTTAACAGTATACTTTTTTTTAATAGTTTTTTTAATGCTAAATTTTCTTGTTAAATTTAAATTGTTTTTGTTTTAGTTAAATTTAGTCTCAACTAAATTTAAAAATAAGAATCCTATTTTCTTTAAATCTATTTTTAATCAGTGAATGGGATAAGTTTTCGTGTTAATTGTATTGTTATTAATTATTAAAAAAAAAAAAAAAAAAACAGTTAGGCTTGACTTTTGAAATCCTTGAGCCGTGGCTGATCGGTGGGTTGCCAGTGGCAAAGGCGCGCAAGTAATGAAACATCCGTACTGTGGGCGCTCGCTTTTATCGACGCTAAGTTGCGCGCGCGCGGAAAATCGCATATTTCCTATAGAACATTATATATACATATACATTGGTCTGTACTTATATATATATATATGTGAGATGTTTCGAGTGTCCACACCTATACACTAGATAACACGCACACTCGACCACACGACAAACGCACCCGGTGATAAAGTAGCTCACTCTTACCCACCCGCTTTGCTTACTCTGATAGGAATGTACATATAACGCACACACTAAATTGACTAAATGACTGTACAAGTACAAACTTTATATGTGTTAATGCTTATCCATATACATATATACATATATAGAGGAGAGGTACCATACTGGATTTTTTATGAGCTTGTTTCCTCATTTTTTCCCTCCCCCCAATCTCTGTTTACTACATTGGAGTTTCTTTTTCTTTGCCGCTCTATCTAAAACCGCCCCTTATATGTATATAAATATGAGGCATTTCATTTGAAAACGAAAGTCGATGTCACGGATTTTTTTGTGATGGTGAGAATAAGTATAAAAAAATATTAATTTATAATATTTTCCAAGATATTTGCAATTAAGATAATGTTGGAAAAAGACATTTTATTTAGAACTCTTTAGAATTTCTGTAAAATGAAAAAAAAATTTTTGATTAAATTTTATTAGGAATGGTAGAGAAGGTGTACAAAAAACTTCGCTTTTCTATGCATTTTCTAAAATTTAATGTAAAAATGATAAAAAAAAATAAAGGAGGAAATACATAGTAGTGTGTTGTTTTCTAGTTCATTCAGCGGCCGCTAGCTAGTATTGGCGCTACCTCTAGGAGCACTGACAAACTCACGCAACGTCTGTGTATTTGCCGCCATGTTTGTTTAAAAATTTGACTTTTTTAACACTTTTTTTTTTTTTTAATAATTTAAAGCAAAATTACAAACAGGACCACAAAAAAAAATCGAACATTTTCCAAGGGAAACCGGAATATGATTTTTTAACATCTTTTGATGCGCTTAACACTTTGAGTTACTTGTTTGATTAGACATGTTTTTTGAGGATAGAAAGAAATTCTGACTTGATAGAGTAAATCGGACTTCAGTAGTGGGATTACGACTAGCGCTAGTCGCTATGTAGCGCTTTTCGCTATTTAGAGTTAAAAACTTACATAAGGTATAAATGCACTAGTAATCGTCATCTTAAGCCGAATTGACAACTTTAATTGTGTATTAAACAATGTTAAACGGTATTTCTAAACTAGTAATTAATATTTAAGAATAAATTAAAGTCTAATAAGAAGCATAATTAACTCTTGTTTCTTAAAAATAGTATTATTGTTAATAATTATTTATAAATAAAGTTCGTAACATGCAAATGTGTTAGTTATCGGCAAGGATGAAAACTAATTGCCTTGGTGATCGTCAAGTAAAAGCATTAGTAATCGGCAGTAATAATAAAATATGAAAACAAACATTTTAAATTGATTTTCTTATATATTATAGTACACTGAAAAAAAAATTCTGGTTAGGCTATATTTAACATTACTTTCTAGTTATGTTAACCAGAATTCTAGTTGAATTAACTACTACACGAAGGTGGAAACAATTCTCTAACTTCATGTTTGCCAACTGTTACTTTACAATAAAATAATTTACAAAAAATTATTTGATTAAACATTTTGATTATTTGAATAAATTTAACTTGAATCCATAATTTTTAACTTCATACTTTCCGCTTTAAAAAAGTACTCATAATATAATTTCTATCTTTGAATTTTACCAGCAAAACAATAATTGTACTAATCTAAATCTGTGAAACTGATACAATTTTCTTGAGTCACCCATTAACTAAAAATTTTTTTTGAGTGAATGTAGCTTCAAATCGCTATACGTAGCGAAACTTTCGTAGCGCTGTTACTATTCGTAATCCCACTCCAGATTCGTAGGAGTTCAAAATTAGAAAAAAAAGAATTTTTGTTGTCTTAACAAAAATTTTGTTGAAACAATCGAAAATTTTTTGAGGCAACAAAAAATTTTGGTTGTTTAAATATTAACCAAATTTTTTTTTGGCAAAAACCAAAATCTTTTTTTCAGTATACCTATATATGACAATATTTACTACAATGCTTGGGAAAATTTGGTCTGGTGATTAATTTTTGTTTTTATCATTTATTTCTGAAAGTATAAAAGATTGAATAGAAGAAAGTCTTTCTTTAGAGTCATATATCTTTGATTGGACGTTGTTTCTGACATTTTTTTTCAATTTCAGTAATAGTTTCTTATTGAAATGAAGAAGGAAGAGAGCCATAAATAAATTCACTTCTTTAATTATTTCTTCACCGGAAGTATATATATATATATATATATATATATATATCCTTTTCTTCCTTGCCTTGTCCCCAAACGTACGATCTTCAACCTCTAATTTCTCAAATTGGTCGAACCAACGCAACCGCCTATCTATCTGGATTACCTTCCCTTCATATACACTTAATCGAAATTGCGTTATCCTTAAACTGGGGTTATCTATATATATATATATATATATATATATGCGAAACTAAAGAAGCTTATTTCCACAAACATTTTTAGTTCAGTTCCATGCGCGCATAGAAAAAAGAAATATTCTTCGTTTGAGAGGATATTTTTTTTCTTCTAAAATCATGTATAATTTTATACAAAAATACTACCCTTTAATCAATACTACTTTCCTCTCTTTTCAAGAGGATTTAAATTTTTAGGACAATTATATCACTTTACTCTCATATTGAAATAAATATTTCTCTATAGGGGAGACCGAGGAGGAAAGTAACAGAGGAGGAAAGTAACAAAGCTTATAACTTTTAAACAAATTATCGGATAGACATGGTTCAAACATATTTTTAGTCGGCACTGTTCCCCCTTCCTCCTCCATAGTGTGTCCGAGCCTGACAGGAAAGGTTAGGTCTGATTCCGGTGTGACGTGCAGAAAAAACGTCAAAAGTAAGTTTTCGTTCAAATTTTCAAAGTCTCGTATTTCTTTAATTTTATTGTTTTTCAAAATATGCCTTTCGTTATTTTGTAGCCTTATTATCTGTCTTTAAGTTGTGCTTAAACAAACAATTTAACATTTGTGTAGTTTTAACTTTTTTGTTGACATACAAGAAAAAAGCGACCGAGGAGGAAAGTAACACGCTACTTTTCTCCTGTTGTCGGTATTGTCCATGTTTTAACTAATGATTGAAGCAAATCGTATTTAATTTTACGAATAACAGAGATTTATTTAAGAAAAACCTGTGATCTAGGTAAGCATAAAATATCTTTAAGAAAAAAAATGAGCTAAATTCATAAAATGTTCGAAATATGTGCTAAATATGTCCCAAATATGTGCCAAATAAGTATAAAGTGTACTTAAACTTTTATGTGTTCCTAATAAAAATATTTCTAATTAATAATAGTCATTAGTCTAAAGAATTTTACATAATTTTATACTGTTACTTTCCTCCTCGGGGGTGAGGAGGAAAGTAACAGATGAAGAGCTTGCGTAAAAGTTATACTGTGAACTGTCAATTTATTATAAATGTTTAATTCAAATTTTATTTAAAAGGTGAATGTCCAAGCTTTCATTTAATATATTGGACAAATTTATCCGACAAATATTTTTAATGCTAGCATAAAAAAACTGATTTTTGTTACTTTCCTCCTCGGTCTCCCCTACTCTTTAAAAGAATTTATACTTTATTCCTTTTAATACCATATTGTAGAGAAAAATATTTTTGATCAATAACATTTTTATTTAAATGATATAATCTTTCCTTTGATGAGTCATAATATTGCGAGCTAATCGTGAAAGTATGGAAAATAAAGTTTTTTCTCTTTAGAAAAATAAACTTCCCTTCGAAAAATGTATAGCACCACTTAAATGTTTGAAAATGAAATGAGCAATAAAGGATTTTTTGCCTGTTATATATATATATATATAAACGTCAGAACAGTATTTCTGTGAGAAGCACAGATGAAAGTCTCTGAGTGCTCTGTGAAACTTTTATTTTTTTGCGTGGGAAAAACCCTGAAAAAGACAGAAAAAATGATTGATATTTCTTATAATTTGTTTCCATTCTTTTTATCATCATCTCACGACAAAATTCTTGTTATTTTTCTTCTTTCATTAAGATATTATTTTTCGCCAACTCTCTCCTGTAATTTACTAATTGTATATATATATATAAGAAAATATAACCGCGGCAATTAAGTTAAAAAAAATTTAATTAAATTATTATAAGGTGTAAAAAGAATCTAAATTATAATTATTTCTTAGATTATAATTTTCTTAAACGGATATATCTCTCGAATTTTTAACTTTTTAATATAAGAAAAAATTTATTTACCTATCGAGAAAAAATTTATATTATTATATACATTGGAATAAAGATTTCATCATTCACTCAATATTTTGTAACAAAAATATATTTTCAGATTACTATTACTATAGGTGGTTATTAAATTTTATCGGAATTATTAAGAGAAAAAAAAATGTTTTTTTGTACTGACCTAGTACCGTGGATGTACCAGTTACTGTCCATGTCCCAGTTTCTGTCCATTTTACAAATATCTCGTATAGTAATTTAAATTATTTTTTAACAATAATTTATTCCTTTTGTCACACAATCGACTTATTAGTTTAAGTAAACAAATAAAAGAAAATAATTTTTTTATAAATGTTATTTTGAAAATTAAACTGGACGGAAACTAGGTCTTAGGTGGACGGTAACTGGGACATCCACGGTATATATGGGAAAATTTTTTTTGTGTAAACCAAACTTTATTTAAAAAAGATTTTCGACTAAAATTTTCAGGGATAATAAAGAAGAGTAGGTACAATGCACATTGCTTTTCTGCTAAAAAAAAAACATAATTTTGCCTTAAATTACTTAAAAAAAATAAGATTAAAAAGTCATAGACGTCGTGTGAGTATGTCGCAACGCCAATGATAGCTAGTGGC